TGGAGGGTTTGGCGGTCTTGAACTCACATCCGGGCCAATCGCAGTGGTAGGGCTTTTCACCTGTAAAAGTGACCGCAAATTAATCACTACAACAAAAATCAAAGTACCGTAAAATCTATGGGCAAATCGCATACCGGTGTGAATATATTTATGAATAGTGACGCAATGCTTGGACCTCCCGGTCCACTCACATCCGGGCCAATCGCAGGGCACCCGCACTATGTCTCCGGTGTGAACCTTCTGGTGATTGAGAAGTCGCGAGCGTTTGGGAAACTTCATCTCACATCCGGGCCAACAGCACTCCAACCACTTCAACGGTTGCGGCGGTTTATTACGATAGGGTCGGCCGAACTTCATGTTCTCGTCCACAATCCGCTCCTTCACCTCTTCGGGAATCGTCTTACAAAACAGCGCCAAATGGTCGCGCATTTTAGTGGCGTTACGACTCGTTCCCGAACCGAATAAGTGGTCGCAATAATTACAGCGCCGAACGATATCGCCCTTAATGTCCTTATCGTCCTTAAAGTGATCCCAAATCCGTGACTTTGGCTTTCGGGGAATTCGCGCCGACTTTATGATCAGTTTACGTGTCTTTTCCTATCAAATCAATCATTTGTTTGATATTAATTAGAATTAAAATCAAACAAATTGTTTGAAATACCCTTTTATGAAATTTAAGTTCATTTTTGGCGTTCAGAGCACTCATATACAAGTCGTGCGATTCTTTGCGTATTTTTAACTTCATTTCAACCGGAATTTTATCGCATTTTAACATCAAATGTATTCGACCTGTAATTCACATATAAAAGGATTCATATTATTATAGACACAAAAAACATACTCATTAATCAATACAAACATTTAGTGGCGTTTTTATAGCCATAAGTTGTGCCACAGTATACACAACGACACATCTGTTTGCCTAAAGTGGTAACAAATTAACAAACATTTAGTCAAAATGTCATTCAAATTCAATTGAATATGCGGTACAATACTAACCAAATTCCTGCCACAGCTTATAATGTGACCAAACGGGCACTTTTGCCTGAGTCCACGTCCGCGACGACTCCATTGTCTCCAAAGTCAACTCTTGGCGTATGTTTTCCGGTATTCGTTCGCATCGGTCGACCAAATGTTGCCGAAATTTGGTCGCATTTCTAGTGGCATACAATTGGCCGCAATACTGACACTTATACGTCTCTTTGCCTGAAAATATACATAAAACTAAATGTACGTCCGTTTCATTGATAGCGATTGATCGTCCGTTTCTACCTTCGCTGTCGTTGCAGTTGTCGTAATGGTTCCATATGTTAGAGAGTCTTGTTTTGATCGGTTCCGTGGATTTGGTATTATTGAGGAAACTTTGGTCGCATTGATTACGAATCGTTTCTTTCACTTCAAACGGGATTTGTTCGCATTTGAAGACCAAATGCTGCCGAC